ATTTTTGAAATAATTAAACAAATTTGTTAGTTTTGAAAAGTAATTCTTATATGTGGGTTTTGTGTATTGTTCCCTTTTTTTGCAGGTATATGGTAAAGAAATGGCACAATGATGAGCTAATTGGACTGATTATATTATTGGGCCGATGTGTTGGTTTGTTTGTTGGACTAATTGTTGGGCTGGATTATTACTTAATGACTTGGTGGCTTCTGTTCCTTTCTGGTTTAAGCGTGTTTTGTTAAAACACGTTTTTCACTTATTGTTTGGACTGCTTGAGATGTCGCCAAGTGTCACCCCACAGACCGTTGGATCTCCACCTTCTGGAGACTTCTCATATACTATAGGGTTTGAGTGTGGCTTCGTTGTTCATTCCTTCATTCTCTCGAACTCTCTTTGCTTTCTCTCACCGTCTCTATTTTGGAAACCTTCTTTAGATCCTTTTTTTATAGTCATTGTATATATCTTAAGTGATTTGTGAAGGGCTAATGTTGCATCCTTGAGTGGTTTGCTGTGTCGATTAGTTTGAGGGTTTTCTTTTTCTTTGATGTAATTTTGCGTGATACGTCTGAGTACCATGGTGTAATCCTTAAACAGAGTTTGGTTCTTGATAATATAGTGATTTCTTCCGGTTTGGCGGAAGCTCAAAAGGAGATTAAGAACTTTGTTCTGAACCTCTAACCCTAACCCTAATATTAAATTGCAAGTAGGGGCACCAAAAATTCAAATTTGTAGCCCAAGCCCCATCCTCCAAAAATTCCAAAACTGAAAAAAAATAGGGTTCAAAAACCCCCTTCTTTTCACCTTCTTCCCGACCAGCGCCTCCACCTTCTTCCCGATCGCGCCGTCGGGCCACATGTGGCCAGGGCAGTCGGACGGTGACCTCCAGCCACCCAGCAGCGGTTGCCGCCAGGGCCACATGTGGCCGGGGCAGTCAGACGGTGGCCCCCAGCAGCGGTTACCACCAGCGTCATCGCTGGCGGCGGCCACTGCAAGACCGAATATTCAATTTTATTTTTTTAAAATAACAGATCTGAAAATTCCTCATTTTAAAATCTGAATTTTTTGAAGAAAATCCTTAATTATGTCAAAATCCATATTATAACATGATAGAAGATCCAATAACCCAAAATTCAAAAAATTCAGAATTTTAAAACGTTAATTTCTCAAGAATTCAACAATGGAGTGGCTCTGATACCACTTGATAGAAAAAAATGATTATAGATTCAAATAATCTATCAAACATATTTTATCAAACCTTTTTCATATATAAATCAAATTATCCATACTCCATGTTGAAATCAGAGAAAAGAATA